AATTAACAATAAAAAAGAAATTATAAAAACTAACCCTACAAGTTTCAGTAGTACGAATCAGCATAACGATAATTGACGATTCATGCTCCCAAATCATTCGCCAGAAATCATTTACCGTATGAGGCATTGGACCTTGTGTTGCAATATAAGCATCACGTTGTCTAAATTTATAATTTTCATCGTCAGTGAATAGAAATTAAAATATATGTAACACAGTAATTAATAACTAGAAAGTATTGAAAAAGTAGAAACTATCTGAGGATTACAATGATAAATAACTTAAACTGTGTAGTGAAAGAATAAATTATCTGAAGATTATAATAATTAATAATAAAAAAGGTGTCGAATAAAAAAAAAGCTGTCTAAATATTAAAATAATTGAGATATCTGAAGACCACATTATAATCAATAATTCAGAAGAATAAAAAAAATGTCTGAAGATTTTTAATAACTAAATTACTAAAACTAAAAATATAAATTGTGGATTATATTAATTAATAAGTGAAAAAGAAAAAATATCAGAATATTGTAAAAATTAAAAAAAATAATTTTGATGATATAATAAATTCGAATATTTGAGTGTTATAATAATTGAAAAATTGAAAAAACTTTTTAAAACAAAAAGAAATGTGAAAACCGGATAAGAAATAGGTGATCAGTATACCTGTAACCATCAATCCAGGAGGCATTGATATAATCGGATCCTTCTTCACCCGGAATTGGACGTAAAATAACACGTGATGAATCATACGGTACCATATTGATTAAGCGATTTTTTGGTCGATTTACTGACAAATTTGAAATGCTGCATCGAGAATTTGACATCTTCATTGTTGCCAAATGCTGCAAAATGATATGAGAAATTTTCATTTTTAAATTCTAAAATTAAATAGAAACTAAGCCATACATTAATTTAATTAAAAAATAATCACTACAAATTACTGTGAATAAATTTTAGCACGTCAAAAAGAAAAATGTAAATGATGAAATTTCCACTATTATATTTTAGGTTAACATTTAAATGGAAAATCCATCAAAAAAAAAATACTTCATCAAAAATTAGTTACTGAGAATAATAACAAACAAATTTCTTTTTCTGCTTTTTTATACAACGATAAATTTAAAATATTTGAACAAATTTTTAGACATAATCAAAATGATCACTAATAACGGCGAAATGATTGTGTGTTAGAAATTAAAATTAAATTTAACATAAGGTAAAAGGAAAGCAATATGAAAGAAAATATACCCTAAATTCAAGTTCCATAGCTGAAACCTGATCAATTGGCTGAATTTGCATTAATGCTTGTACATGGGTGTATAATTTGCTAGCAGGCACTTCTGTTGAACCGGATTGTACCGCATCCAGTACCGCATCATGAATAAAAATATACTGATCATCGGTCTAAAAATTTTCCATAATTCAAAAACATATTTGAAAAAAACAATTTTTGAACAAAATGTATAAAAAAAGTGTAAAATCTGCGGCAAAAATAAATTCAAATTTTTAATCGAATTATTATGAAATGTGTTGAAAAATGCGAAATCAAATTTTTGATAAAATCACAGCGAAATCAAACACTTTTGATATATTGACGGAATTTTATTATAAATATTCAACAAATTCAAATTTAAGATTGAATTTTACATTTACCTGAACCATATAAGATCGTTGCGATCGTAATGCTGTCACACAACCATAAATATCCACAGTATTTTCGTACCGTAATCGTTCTAACATACAATCAATTACAATAAAGGCACCTGTTCGACCAATTCCAGCGCTGCAAACGTTCCGTATGTATACTTTAATAATTTAATTTATCAAAATCAAGTTTATTAAAAAACAATAGTTGAATTCGATTATTTTTATGTAAAATTCGAAAATTAGACAAAAAAAAAACTTTCATTTCCTTAATTTTTTTATTTTAAGAGATAAATTCTTCAAATTTAAATTTATTTACTAATAAAAAAGAATAACTTTTAACCTGCAATGTGATATGAGTGGACCAGCATCCGGTCGATTTAAAGTTTTCACCCTTTTCAAGAACATTAGAAATGGTGTCGGATGATCCGGAACACCATGATCCGGCCATGCTGTGTATTGCAAATGTCTTACTTCCCGTATTTTGCTACCACCTCGATGTTGCAATCGCAATGTTCGAATTGTATAGTGTGCTAGCTCTAATGTTTCCAATAATGTTACCTAAAAAATTTCATATCTTTTTAAATTCTTATTCATTATAGTTTTAAAATCTATCAAAAATTTCCTCTCTCTTGTTCACCCATTTATTTCGAAAACAGACAATAAATCGATAATTTCATTCAAAAAATATGGAACATTGAATTACAATTTATATCATAGCATATTTGTAGCAATTATAACTATTTAAGCAAAATCTAATTTATAACATATATCTTACCAATAAAAAATGCTTACAGTTAGATTACTAACGAATTGTTTGAATTATTTTATTAAAATACAATATAAAGTTTATTTTGTAAAATTTAGAAAAAGTTTAATAATTTTTTTTTTCACCTGTATATGACCGTAATAAGATGATCCACGAGCAGGCCAGTATTGACTGCATTTTATTCGTGATCGTTCCTCCAATTTTGTTAGCATTACGATCGTTACCGTATTCTCTTCCCAAACCATTCGCCAGAAATCCGCAAATGTTTCCGGTAACGGTCCCTGCGTTGCAATGTATGCCTTTGGCTAAAATTAAAATTACGTAACTTATTTATTATATATAAACAAACATTTGAAATATAGTTTTTAATTACAAAAGTAGAGAAAACATAGTTTTAATTAGGGAAGGTTTTTTTCTTCAAAAGTAAATGAAATTGAAATATCACTTCATTTAGTAATATATATTAGAAAAACAAAGAAGATAGAAAAAGTAATATGAAATATGTAATCAATAAGATACATAATATAGAAATAATTAAGCAATAAATGTTAATTAATAAACACAAAGAAGAAAGTGTTACACCTTTTCGTAACCATCAATATAATTAGCATTGATATAATCACTACCATCGATATTATCAATAGTACTGAGAACGACACGTGAATGATCATATGCAACCACATTTGCATATCGATTTTTCATTTTATTTATTGGTCGACTAGAATTTTCCCAGGTAAAATGTTGACCTGTTTCAATGCTTTCATATTCCTATAATATTTTAATATTAATTAGGTGGAAATTTTTTCAAATTATTATTTCTTAATCAACTAATTAATTTGAAACGGCTATTTTTTTTATTTTTTTGAAAATGAAACAAGCAGTAAATGACATATTAGAAAAAACAAACAGGAAATATTAAACAAATATTAAGATTGCATCGAACTCATTTATATTTATCCGAAGATTTTTTTGTGATTGATTTTTATGAGGTAATAAAGCGATTTTAAATAAAATAAATTCCCAATTTAATTTTTATAAAAATTAAACGTTTTTGAAATTTTTAATAAAATTTGTAAATCTAAAAAATTAACTAAATAGTCTAATATATGAAAATTTTACTTTAGTACCTGTGAGAATAAAGCATTATTATTCATTTTTAATTTATCAATATGTGCAGCAAGTTCAGAAATTGGAATTGGTAGATGGGTTAGAGAATGACCACCAACAGCGCCACCACTTGACGGCAATATGGATATTGGTACAGGTAATGAGGTATTATATGTTGCACCACTCATATGACTTTGATGTAACGGATACATATCAACGGTTGAATCCATCGTACAACCACCATTTCCATTCATCTAAAAAAGAAAAATTTTAATTGAATTTTTGAAAAATTAAAAAAAGAACAAAAAAATGATGAGTTGAAAAAAAAACAATAATTTTTTGCTCATATTTTTCTCTTATTTTTTTAAAAAAAAGGTTAAAATTTAATTATAAACAAATTAAAAGACCAAAATAATTAATTATAGCTGATTTAACATACCTGATCATACGGATTAACTATATGACGACCGTAAACATCACCGGAAACAAGCAATTTGGATGTTTCATTTGGAATTGTATTGCCAGCTAAAGCAATCTTTGAAATAGAACCATGGCGAGGAGTTTTATGACGATTATTTCGACGATTACAACGAAGCCACCTGAAAAAAAAATTTGAATAGTTTTATATATTGAAATTTAAAAAAAAAGCAATTCAATTAACTGATTTTATTTTAGCACATTTTAAAACTGAATGAAAATTACTACTAATTCGCATTTTGGGTGAAATAAATTAATGAATTCCATAATGTAAAAATTTTGAAATCGTAAATGGTTTTGAAACTTTTGTAGGATCACACCAAAATGTACTCAATGATAGGAAAGCGATTATAAAATTGTCATTATAATTTAATACAGTAATGTGATATAAGATTCGATATCGAATTAATTGAATACTTATGTATTTGGTGTATGTTTAATTTAATACCTGTAAAATTCTACAAGCATAATTGCAAAGAAGATTCAGTGAATAAAACGCCAGAAATCAATTTTGTAAATTAAAGATTACAGCAAGAAATCAAAAACAAAAAACATGCAATTTAAAAAATATTTCACTGCTAACTAAATACATTATGTGGTGCTATTTTAAAATTTAAAGTTTAAATTTTAAAAAAGTCAATTTTTCGAAAACTTGTTACAATTTTTTGTTTAGACAAAAATTTTTTTTCTCAAGCTTTAAATTATCGTTTTTTTCAACATGAAAACATACCAAATGACTAGCATCCCAACAATTATTGCAATAATTAAAATTGCAACAAGTGGCGCAATGAGCCATAAATTCGATGCTTTAGCATCACGAATATGTACAGCAACTTTGGTAGAAAATGGTTCACTAAGCATTGAATCCGAATAACGTTTCGCTAATGGTTCTTGAATTGGAGCGCGAAATTCAAACTGAAAATTTTGGAATTTCAAAAAATTAAAACGAAAAACAAACAAATAAAAATCTTTGAAAAAAACCAATGAACAAATTATTTTCTTTTAACTATTATAATTGCAAATGAAGTAAAAAAAAAGTGAAAAAATGAAATATAGTAGTACGAAATATAACGAAATAGTTTGTTTTAAAAATTTGAAAAATTGAAAATTTCATAAATTAATTTTTGCTCAAATTTCTATTAAAAAGAAATCTACCGAATGATCCGGATTTCTCGATACATCCTCACGAGCAAATGCGCGCATCATTAAACGATATTTAGTATTACTATCTAAAGGCCAATTATCATAGCCATCGTACATCTAAAATAATACCGAAAATCAACAATTGAGTAAAAAAATGGCAATTTTTAGAAGTTAATGCAAATTGTCATTGAAAATAAGAAAAATAATTTTTTTGATTTTTTTGAAAAAAAATTTGCTATGCTAGTTGAATATTAATAGTTGATGTGATACAAAAAATAATAATTTAAAATAGGAAAATAAAGAAAAAAATCAATTTCATTATTTTTTGAAAGAAAAATCATTATTTTATTATTTTTTCAATGATCCATTTTAGTGTTTCTTGCAAATGAAGCAAGAAAAATAAAAATTGAATTAAAATTTAATTTCGAATTTGTTTACATAGAAATGAGAAAAGTTTACCCGTCCATCACCAAGTGTAAAAAGATGATTATTACGTTGTATTTGTTGCATTTCATGTACCGGTATACCTGCCGCGATATATGCACCTCGAAGAGCAGAAGGTTCATGCAAATAGCGCCTGAAATAATTTATTCAATTGACAATAGCGCCAAAAGCTGGAAGAAAATTAACGCAATAAATACGATCAAATATATAGGGCAATTAGAGATAATTTTAATAATTTGAATGTTTTCGTAAGTGCCAGTCGTTCCGTTTTGAAATGTAACTCAAAAAATGCAAATAATGTAAAGAAAAATCACCAAAACTTAACCAATATTTGTTTATTACAATAAATAAAATATCATCACAGTAATAAATAAAATTATTGTAATAAATTTAAAACTATACTTAATTACTATAATAAATGAGATTATTGTAACAAATTAAAAAACATATTAATTCATATTGTACTATTGGAATAAATGAATAAAGATTGAATTAATTTCCAATCAAGTTTATCATTCTTTTAAAATAATTTTTGCATAAAACCAAAAAAAAAAAACAAATAAACAAACAAACCTTCTGTAATCACGTTCTCTGTTTGCTTTGCGAACTTTCTTGACTGTTTTCCCATAATAATTTTTGTTTTGATTTGGACGCATCATTGTCGTACTTTTTTGGAGTGATGTTGAATCCAAATTTAATACATCATCCTTATAAATGATAAAAATAAACTGAATTAATCATCTTTCAATTTTTTCACATAATTTATTTTATGGACTATATATTATAAAATTGCAAAACTATTCAATTCTTGTTATTTTAATATCTTACACTGTTTCATTCTTATCAATTCACCTTTTTTAAAAAAAAAGAAACAAAAGCATAAAACATATATGAGAATAATAATGCTAACAATGGAGTATAATTGATAATTAGATTATACAAAATAGAAAAATCTTATTAATGTTACTGATATTATCACTTTATTTGAATATATTAAGCTATATTTTGCATTTTCGTAATAATTTCAGCTTAATTTATTCCAACTAATGACATTCTTTTTTCGATATTTAATTATTTCGACGATATTGAGAAAAAAATTAATATATCAGAATCCATGGAATAAAACTCTCGGCGAAAAAAATTTACTCTATATTTGATATTTTTCATCTTCTTTCGTCTTTTCTTGCTTTCAATTCAGAAACCTTACGTTAAATTAGAGCAAAAAGGAAATATGAAAATTGTTAAAGTAATTTCAAAAAAAAAAAACAAAATAAAATTTGCTATAAACTAGAAAAAGTTTGCAAAAAAGGAAATTAAAGGACAAAATTGCAATTTTTATTATGAATTTATTCATGAGAAAATTAATGAAAATTAAATTACTGCACATGAAAAGGTATAAATTTAGTAAAAAACCAAAAAAATTATTTTGAACAGGGAGATATTTCACAAAATTATATAATTTTATTTTTATTAATTTGCTCATAAAAACTTCTCATAAATAATAAAATTCCATCAAAAAAAAGAAATAATAAAAAAATTGATTACCTGAGTAAAATTCCCAGGTAAAACAATAAGCCAATAATGACTGATTGGCCCGTATTCCTCACTGGCACATTTCAATCGAATAAGCGCAGTAGTGGCTTCATTTGATGCGATAAATTCAGGTACGTCAACAAATGGTGGCCCAGTGGGATCCGTTCGAACAATCACTTCTTGTGGCCAATATTCCCTTCCAATTGGTGGTAATTCACGTACACCAACGTGAAATGTGTATTCCATATATGGTCGTAATGTTGTCCATCTTAAAATTTATCGCAAATGTTTTTAATTTCATAAATTTAACAAAACTATGTGAAAAAATTTTTTTTGATAAAAATCAATACAAAACGAAAAAATAAGTTAAATGCAAGTAAATTGAATATTTTGTCGCCTCTAAATGAAAAAATAGGTCAGTGTATTATTTAAAAAAGCGTTTTAAAAAAGTTTTATGTTTGTTCTTTTAGTTGTCAGTTATTTATGATAACTCAATCTAATTAGCTCAGTTGAAAAATGAAATTTATTCCTTTTTCAAAAAAAGCACATTTGTAAAAAATGAAAATGATAACTGAATAAATTTTCTACTCAAAATAATACCTCTAATATAAATTAAATTTATGAATTCTTCTAAAGAAGCAAATACAAAGGAATATATTTTTCTTTTTTTTTTTCATTTCTTTCTTCTTTTTTCAAATTTGCATTCTGAATTTCAATTATTAATTCATTTTTTTTCTCATTCCTTATCGAGCAAAAAATTGAAAATCATTTCAACAATATATCTCGCATTCTTCATATTTGCTATTCAGTGCAATTTTTTTTTATCTTCAAATTCCATTATCTTCAAAGCGTATTAAGTTTACTTTTGATACTTTTCTTATCTTTAGTTGTCAAGTTTTTAATACTTTTTAATTTTCAATATTTTAAAGCTAAATTTAATTCTTTTTTAGTTCCCAGTAATAATTTAAAGTAACTTTGCTATTCTTTCTTTGATAGCGGTTTTCTAACAACAAAAATCTTGACTAGTTGTAGTTTAAATCAATTTTAATAACTAATAATTTAGTATTCCAATAATACTTACAAATATTCCCGTTGATGTCCATCAAGATCTTGCCGAAATCCCGGTGAAATCATCCCTTTTAATTGTAAATTTTGATCCAAATAATCTTTTTGTCCTGTTTGATTAGCGTAAAAACCGATCGGTTGTGGACCGTTATATTCCCATCGAAGCATAACCGAATTACTCGTCTTCCATGCTATCATTAAATTCGATACCATATGTGTTGCTTGTAAACGATCGATTGTTATTGGTGGATCCGAACAGCTACCCTGTCTCTGTAAATTATTAAAATTTCTTTTCCAGAAAATTTAAACTAAAAGAAAGAAAAAAAATATTATAAGAGAGTTTGTTTTTTCATTTCTAGCAAAATGTTTAAAAGAAATTTTTTTATGAATAAAATAAAAAATTTTAATCGCTAAATGATATTAAACTTGGAATGTTTAAGTTTTTTTTTCTTTTTTTGATGAATTTTTCAAAATTTATAATTTCGCTAATTCTAAAAGATAAGTGCAATCCAGAAGTTAAATATATTTTTATGCAATTACGTTTTTAAATTTTGTTTTTTTTTTTTAAATTACAAAAATTCAGTAATTTTTAATCCAATTTTTAATTTTTAATCCAATTTTTCGAATTTTGATTCCAGAAATAAAACTTAAATTTGAATTTCACTGTACTAACATTTTGTCGAATAGCCAAAACACAAAATGCATATGGTTTATGTGCTGTAAGTTGTGAGATATGCAAATGTCTAGCAGATGGATTCATAACCGTAATTGTTTTCCATCGTTCATTATCTCGCTGTCCGAAAATCGGTTCATGTATATATCGTATCACAAAACCGTCTACATTTTTATCATCATCCAAATCCCATTGTACTACAGCTGATGTATTTGAGGTTGCTTGAACTCGAACATTAGTCGGTGGATAGATGGTAGCTAAAGTTTTATTTCATGGAGTATAAATTTAATATCTTTAATAATAATTTAAAATTGCTTAAAATTTTTAAAGAATTTCAAAAAACATACAAATAACTTCCAAAAATCACATTTTTTTTCCTTTTTCATATAATTAATTGTTGAATTTTTTCGTACAAATAAAAAAGTATAAATTATTTAGCAAAATAAAAACAAATTGAACAATATATTTGTTTTTTTTTCTTAAATCCTTAACAAATTGATAGGAAAATTCATGGAGTGAAGAAGAAATTTTTATTTATTTTCAATTTTCTTTTTTTGTTTTTTTAAAAAATAAAAAAATTCAAATCATGTTCTTTTAATATGATTTAGTAATTAATAATTATTTAGCAATTAATTTTACCATTATTGCTGTTGTGATACCCTAAAAATTGTCGTATTACTGTAGCGAAAACATTTTGCTGTTGGACGGCTTTTAAACTTCCTTTATGCTTCATCAGAACTATCCGGCACTTCCACAAGAATCTCCTTTTTATTTACTATTTTTCAGATATAAACAAATTAAATTTGAATGACACACAGACAGGCAAATAGAAACACACACAGACAGGCGAACAGACACGGACACACACACACACACACACACACACACATATGTATCACGGTGATAACACCGGATAGAATTAATCAGACTAATGTAACAAAATAAGAAAATAGCTTTTATAGAAAAAGTAAATCTAGCAAGAATTAAATTGGTCTTCTCTTTTTGCCTGAAGAAAATTCAATTTAGCAAATTGAATTTAAAAACTGCAAATGGAAGGCTAAAAAATGTGATAACTTAATGAGAAAGTCGATTAAAAATTTCCGTTTTTTATTGTTTTTTTAATCAATAAAATGCATATTATTTGAAAATATTTCAGTGACAGCTTTCTAACAATTACTAATTAAATTAATTATTGGATAATTTTATTTATTTTTGTTAAAAGGAAATTGTAAAAATTATTGATATTACTATAAATAAAATAATTTTTTTAGCAATGTTATTGCAATATTTGCAAAATGAATTTTTTTTTATACATTTAAAAAATATTTCTTTTTCGTTTTTTAAATTAGCAAATCGCTGTATTTATTGAAAGATCTTTTTTTCATAAATTTAATATCAGATTTTAAATTAGCCTTCTAGTACGCGATGAAATAAATGAATGATTAAGAATGTTTTAAAATGACAAAATATCAATATGAAAAAATATTCAAACAATCGTTAAAATTAACTTAGACAAATGATAATTATTAAAATGATGGAATTTAACTTATAGTAATTATCTAGTTTTTTATGTCATTATCCAGCAATAATAATAGTAATAATGCTAGTAATAGCAGTAGTAATAGTGAGTAATGGCAGTAGTGGTATCATGGATTACTATTATTATTAATAGTAGCAGTAATAGTAATAAAAATAATAATGAGAGTCATAATAATAATGACGATAATAATAACAGTGCGTAATAATAATGATAATAATAGTAACCCATGATAAAAATGACAACATCAAATTTAACAATTTCCATTATCCATAAATAGAACATTCGCAACTATTCATTGTAATAGCATTTTTGAAAAAAAATTGAATGAATAACTAATATGAAAAAGATTTTTTCCAGAATTTGAA